CTCAACTCTGTTACCTAGTGCACACTCATTTTACATTTTACAAGATTCTCAACTTCCACTACTGATCACAGATTCCGTATAGTGGTTTTTCAAGCTACTTTAAAAAAAAAATCTTCCCTCGAAAGTGAAATATTTGCTTTCTTGTTGTTGTGTGCTATTGAGTCACCTATAAATCATAGTGATCCTGTGAACAATATCTCTGAATCCTGCTCTATCCTGAGCGAATCTCACTGTCCTTCCCATCATTACCTTAGTTATTGTGTCAATCCATCCCATCTAGGGTTTTCCTCTTCCGCTCTATCCCTCCACCCTTCCAAATATTCTTTCTCCAAGGACTGGTCTATCCTGGCAATATTCCCAAAGTGTAGGATATTTAGCCTCAAAATCTTTGTTTCCAAGGAATAGCGTGGCTTCCACTCTCCAGGATAGACCTTTTAGTTATCTTGGTAGTCCATGGTATTTTCAATACTTTTTTCCAGCACCACAACTCAAGGGCATCAGTTTTCTTCTGTTATCTTTGTTAATTGACCAGCTCTCTAATGTACAACAGGTAATGAAGATCATAGCCTGGATCAAGCTCACCTTGGTCTTTAAACTCATTGCTCTTTAGCACTCTGGAGAAGTCACTGACAGCATATTTTCCTAATGTAATTTCTCTTTTGATATTCTTACTATTGGTGCCAATAGTGTTGATTGTGAAACCAAGCAAATGGAAATTGTTTACAATCTCAATCTTTTCTCCATCTATTATGATCCTGCCAACTGGCCCAATGGTGACTCTTTATTTTCTTAATATTCAGCTTCAATCCATATTGCAGACTACACTCCTTGACCCTCTGTAAAAAAATACTTCAAATCCCTTCTCGGTTTCAACAATCAAAGTTTAGTCATTTGCATAGTGGAGATTGTTGATGAGTCTTCATTTAATCCTAATGCCACATTCCTCTTCATAATGTCCAGTCTCCTGAATGATCTGTTGTACGTAAAGATTGAAAAGGTAAGGAGACAGAATATATTCCTGACACATTCCTTTCCTGATTTTGAACTATGAAGTGCTTTGTTGCTATGTTCTGATGACAGCCTTCTAGTCCAAATATATGTTTTACATCTCCTTTGGACAAGATAAAACTGAACAACTTGTGTTTGGTGTTTGGTGAATTTAATTTCATTTGTACATTCTGGAATAAAATAGTAAAGAGATGGAATATCTTAAAAATAATCAAAAATAAAAGAAACTGTTAAGAGTGTATTCTGAGTGATTATTTTGCATGCATATAGAGATTCTTGAACAATAGCATGTGATTTCTATTTTGAATCTAAAACAATAGCATGTGATTTCAAGTAGGCTGGTTATAATGTAATCTACAGGGAACACTGGTGGCTTAGTGGTAAGAATCTGTGCCGTTAAACTCAAGACAAGCAGTTCAAATCCCCCAGGTACTCTGCATGAGAAAGATGAGTAATGTATCTTGTGCACTTTACAATCTATGAAAACATGGTGAAGGGTCATCTCTGGTTCAGTTCTAATTCAATGGTACACGACTAACCTAATGGTACACAACAACAACAACATAAAATGCATTGAGGATGGCCTAATAAAACTTGAATTGTATTGCCAATCCAGGGCAGCTAGTTCTAAAGCACTAGCTGCTTTGCAGAAGACAGATGAATAATATTTTCCAGTACAATTTACAACCTGTGAAATTCCTCTTAACTGTCAGCAGTTGAGTGGGTTCAGTATTGATAGCCTCTAACAACAGCATATAGAACAATAAAGCAGAAAACCAGATCACTTATTTCTTTTCTTTATATTAATGATATTGTTCACTGTTTTTGTTGTACACAGCCAAGTAGAACTGACTGATAGGTGACCATCCAGTAGGTTTTCAGACTTAGTTTAATCACACAGGAGGAGATTGTCAATCTTTCTTTCACAAGAAGCTGATGAACTCAAACTGCATGCATTTGGGATAGCAGCACAGCTTCTTATCAGTAGGCTATTGAAGGTCCCTATTTGTTCAATAATTCTATTGGATAATCTTTTGGAAACAAATATGAACCATTTCCAATCACTTGGCCAGGTAAGCCTTAGATATTTCATAAACAAGTGAGCATATTCAAGGCTACATCTGTTTGTTGAAATATGTCAACCGTTAAAATTAATTCTATCAATTGCTGGGGAATTATTTTATGTTACTGTCTTCAATGACGCTGTAATTTCTTCCTTTATTATTATTTGTTTTTGATGTGGTACTTCCTGAAATGATTCCTTATTCATCAGTTCCTTTTGGTACACTGGCTCTGTGTGTGTATTCCTTCTAACTTTGTTTATGCTACCTGTGTCATTTGATATTTGGCCCACACAATCCTTAAGTCTTGCAACTTTAGCTGTTCTTCAGTTTTTTCAGCTTGAGAAATGCAAAGTGTGTTTTTTTTTTCTCTTTTGTTTTTTTAACTTCAGCTCCTTGTACATTTTTAAAAAATACTATAGTCTTCCTGAGTTGACCTTTTAAAATCAGACCAACTCTTCTACTTTAGCATTACTTACTTTTATTTGGATACCTCTAATTTCAGGTCTCAAGAGAGACCTTTAAGAGTAACTTTTGACATCCATTTGTCTTTTCTTTCTTCCCTGTCTTTGTAATGACCTTTTGCTTTCTTCATGGAAAACATCCTTGATATAATTTTCTAATTTACCTGGTCTTCTAACATTAGTGTTCAATACAGGAAATCCACTCTTTCAAAAGCTTTTAAATTCAGGTTAGATCAACTCAAGATTGCATTTTGCTTCCTAGGGACTTGTTTAATTGTTTTCAACTTCAGTTTAAACTTGCTCATGAATTGATGAGTATTGAATATCTTATGGCCTGCGCAGAGAACAAAGAAGTCTCTCTGGGAGAGGTTTGTACCTTTGAAACAAAGATTTTGAAGCTCTGTCTCATATACTTTAGGAAGGGTGCCAGAAGGGATCAGTCCTTGTGAAGGAGATCATAGTGGAATGGTGGAAGGTCAGTGCAAGAATTATGCTGAATGAGATTGATTGACACAGTGACTGTGGAAATGGGGGCAGGACTGTTAAAGATGGTGAGATTGGCACAGGATAGGGCAGGATTCAGAGCTATTGTTCATAGGATCTCTATGAGTCATTGTTGACTCAAAGGCACATGATAACAACATACCACAGCCATTCCCTGTCCTGGCTTTAAGTGCTGCTGGTGAACTTCTGATTCCTGGGTAGTCCATCAAGTGAGTTTATGTCTTTTAAAAAAGTATTTGCAATGAATAACTCATTAATTGGACAGAATTCTATCATTTAATTACAGCTTCATTTCTGTCACCATGGCATTATTTTTCAACCACCAGTCCTTCTTGTTTGTTTCTCAATTTTAAAGTGCAGTCACAAATGTTATTAGTGCATTTCATCAGGACAGACAGTTTTTGTTAAAAAGTACACCATGCTAATAAATGTGGAGGGTCAGAAAAGAGACGAAGTCCCCCAACCAGATGAATTGACCCAGTGATTATAAAAAACGAGAGCATCTAAGACCATGAAGATGGTGAAGGATAGGCAAGGTTCAGCTCTGCTGTTCAAAGCATTGTGATGAGTCAGAATTGACCGGAGAGCACCTAACAACAACAGTTATAATAATTTGTTAACTTAATTGATTGAGCTCTGCCTCATCTAGTGGGTAGGGAATTGCACTGCAAGTCCAAAGCAGGTGGTTTGAATCCACCAGCTGCTCAGTGGGAAAATTTGGGGCCGTCGCCTCCCAAGTGATTTATACATAGACCCTCTGGTTACAACTCAAAGGCAATAAGTGAATGCATGAATTCTTCCACTTACTTTGATCTACTGACATTCAGTTGCAAAATGTCTGTAGCCCTTACGGTCCTGCTTCTATGGTATCTTTTAAAATATCAATTAATAAACATGTTTTAAACAGAAATAACAAATAGCTACTTATGCTAGGGAAGCTGGTGGCTAAATCAAATATGGTACTTTTCTGTAGCGGAATAAAATAGCACAAATCAGTCTTCTTAACAGATTTGTAGGTACCAAGCTTTAAATAAGTAATTTGGACTAATATTATGCTAGTATTTTATATAATGTACTATAGCTTGGCTTAATGGGAGGGAGGTCTAGTGGTAAGGAGTTGGGCTGCCAACCCTAAATAAGTGGTTCAAATCCATCAACTTCTCCATGGAGAAAGGTAGAAAGCTGGCTTGCAATTTACTGCCTATAGAAACCTGCTGAAGTGTCAGAAGTCAATTCCGACTTAGTGGTACATAACACTAACAACTCTAACATCCATAAGAGACTAAAAGATAGAGTGGCCACACAACAATTGTTGATTAAACTATCATTGAATTAATCTCATATTTTAGGGTATTAGCTTTCAAATCATTTAAATATTTTACTTCTCCAGAGGTTTTTATATCTGTATTTAAAAAAAAAAAACACAAAACAACCCAACAAGATATATTCATTTACTATGTGTAAAAAATTTATTATTAAAGACCTATTTTATTCCAGTGTTAACAGATTCAGAGTGGACAAAGTGAATAAGATCAGAATTTTCATAAATCTTAAGGTTCAGTATAGGTACTATGATTGAAGCATTCAGTAAAATATGGATTCTTGTTTGCTGTTTCTCATATACTTTCTTTTTTTCCCCCATTATAACAGCCATCTGTATTTGTAAAAATCCAGATATAAAATGTAGTCTTTCAGTCTTTCCAGGTTTTCCTTTTTTACAAAAACAAAAAGGCACATAAAAACCTTCCCCAATGTCATTCCCACAGACGGATGTTTTTCAGGCAGTCCTCCCCCCTCCCCCCATATATCTACATGCTTCATTCTGGGATGTCTCACTTCCCCCACATGCTTCGGTGCTTTCCTACTAGGGTAGAGTTCCAAATTCCAAGACTGAAGTACACATGGTGGGTGGGTGATGGATGCAGAGTGTGGCATGATGCTCCACAGCGTGCAGGACGGGGGACTAGTAGCAGGTTTCCTTCTCCACCCAGCCGCCAGGGCTTCACCTGATGATGAGCTTTCTGACTTCATCATACACGAAGATGAGAAGTGAGTAAGGGAAGGCACAGAACCACCAGGTAGGTTTGAAGGGAGGGCCACCCCCATGCCAGGGCAGTAGGAAAGGAAAGCAGCAAGGGCCGTCTCTTCAAAGAGGCCAAATATTAAGATCTTGTTCTTCATCCCCTGCTGGAAGACAGAATTCCTTCTGGTCTTGCAGATGATCAGATCAGCCCACTGCACCACCACGATGCTGACAAAGAAGGCAGTGTGGCAGGTGAACTCCATGATTTTCCTCTGCTCGTATGTCCACTGCTGACCATAGCTGTCTTCCAAATCGTTGACCCAGTGGTCATCCCAGTCCATTCGGATGCCCAGGAGGTCAAAGGGGAGGAATCCATTCTCAGCCAGAATCACAAAATAAGTGAAGAAGCCTCCCAGGTGCCTGGATCATACCAATCTGTCCATAGGCCATACTGATGAGCCTCTTATTCACCAGTTTGTCTGTTTTGGGATTTCTGGGCTGTCTCTTCATGATATCACTCTCAGCTTGCTCGTATGCCAGAGAGATGGCGGGAACCCTGTCAGTGCCCAAATCAATGCAGAGGATGGTGACGGTCCCCAGTGGGAGTGGAATGTTTGCAATAATAAATATCAGGAAGGGGGTGATCTCAGGAATGTTACTGGTGAGGGTATAAGCAATGGATTTCTTCAAGTTATCAAAGATCACATGACCTTCCTCAACTCCAGTCACAACTGAAGCAAAGTTGTCATCTAAAAGAATCATGTCAGCAGCTTGTTTAGACACATCTGAGCCAGCAATTCCCATGGCAACCCCAATGTCTGCCTTCTTCAATGCTGGAGAGTCATTCACACCATCACCAGTTACAGCCACAGTGGCACCCTGGCACTGGCAGCCCTCCATGATAATGAGCTTCTGCTGAGGGGAGGTTCTGGCAAACACAATCTCAGTGTGGTACTTCAGAATGTCATCCAGCTGCTCAGCGTTCATGTCCTTCAGGTCACTTCCATGGACCACACAGGCCTTGGCATCTCTGGGGTTCACCTGGCTCACTGGGATGTTGAGGCAGGCAGCAATGTCTTCCACAGTCTCGTTGCCCTCTGAGATGATGCCCACACCTTTGGCAATGGCTTTGGCTGTGATTGGGTGGTCTCCTATAACCATGATGACCTTAATTCCAGTGCTTCGGCATTTGCCCACAGCATCAGGAACAGCAGCACTGGGAGGGTCAATCATGGAGATGAGGCCAACAAAGCAGAGGTTTTCAACAGGGAAATTGACGTCATCGGTGTCAAACTGGAACCCTTCAGGAAACTGTTCATCTGGCAGAAAAAGGTGGCAGAAACCTAGCACTCGCTCTCCGAGGCCCCCAAGCTCCAAGTAGGCATTCTGAAAGGCTTCTTTCAGCTCCTCATCCAGGGGCTGCTCCTTGCCATGGAGAAGGATGGAACTGCAGCGGTCCAAGATCCTCTCTGGAGCTCCCTTCATAACTAGTAGGAGCCGGGGTTCGGATGTGTTGGGGTTCTTATAAATAGACAGCTGGTACTTGTTGGTGGAGTTGAAAGGTATCTCTACAATCTTGGCGTACTGCTCCCTCATCTCCTTCACCGAACCGCAGCACACCTCAATGCACTTCAGGAGGGCTGACTCAGAGGCATCTCTGGCAACTGCCCACTTGAGAATAGGTAGATTTTCCTGATTAGCCTGGAACACTGCCCTGTTACAAAGACCTGCAATTCTCGACAGAGCAATCCAGGTCGCTGATGTCTTATCGAATGAGACACCACTCTGGTTCTCTGTAGTATCAGCTTCATGGACCTGATTGTCAAACCACATGTGAGCAACAGTCATCCGGTTCTGAGTCAAGGTTCCAGTTTTGTCAGAACAGATGGTAGATGTGGACCCCAAGGTCTCCAACAGCTTCCAAGTTCTTCACCAGGCAGTTTTTCCTTGCCATGCGTTTGGCAGTAAGCGTCAGACACACCGTGACAGTGGCCAGCAAGCCTTCTGGCACATTAGCTACAATGATGCCGATGAGGAAAATGACAGCCTCAAGCCAAGTGTACTCCAGGATCAGAGAGAGGATGAAGAAAGACACGCCAAGGAACACAGCCACACCCGTGATGATGTGGATGAAATGCTCGATTTCTGCAGCAATAGGAGTCTGATCACCTTGTAGTCCAGAAGCAAGTGTGGCAATTCGTCCCATCACAGTGCGGTGCCCAGTGTATACAACAATACCACGTGCTGTGCCTTCAACACAGTTGGTTGAAAAAAAGGCAATGTTCCTTGTCTCCAGAGGGTTCTCATTTGTGAAATCTGGAGACCTGGTCTGAGGCTTGGATTCTCCAGTGAGCGAGGAGTTATCCACCTTGCAGCCGTTCGCAGAAATGATTCTCAAATCTGCAGGGATTCGGTCTCCACCTTTCACTTCCACCGGATCCCCAACAACAACTTCTTCTGCATTGATGCTCATTTTCTCACCATTTCGAATCACGAGAGCTTGCTGAGGAACCATGTTTTTGAAGGATTCCATGATCTTCGAACTTTTCGCTTCTTGATAGTAGGAGAAACAACCCGCGATGAGGACAGCAGCTGACAGCACCACATCAAGATAGAGATTATCATTACTAGGGTCCATTTCTGTGGCAACTACAATGCCGTAAACCAAGAAGCAAAGAACTGCTCCAATCCACAGCAACATTGAGAATCCCCCAAACAGCTGCCGACAGAATTTGACCCATTCAGGAGTAGTGGGAGGAGGGGTGAGGGCATTGGGACCATCTCGGGCCAGGATCTCTGCAGCTCGAGCAGGTGTTAAACCTCGGCTCAAGTCTGTTCCATATTTGCGATGAAGCTCATCAAGGCTAAGTTTATGGTCATCCATAGATACGTCTTTCTTCAACTCATCCATATCCCTCTTTTTCTTGGCCTTCTTTTTGTCACTATGTTCTGAAACGGCTGCAGGTTCATATTTATCGCGTCCCATCCCCTTCCCCATCGTGGCGGCCGTCTGTGCCCGGCGCCTGGTCCTGCTGCTTGGAAATCAGAAAGGAGAAAGAAGAGCAGCTCCCGGCCAAGCTCGCGTAGCCGGGGTAGAGGAGAAGCCGGAGCTCGGCTGCTGCGGGGTGGGAGGGAAGGAGGACGGCCAATGGCCCGGGCCGATGCCGCCGGGGCTGCTACCGCTGCTGCTGCCACGTGTCCGCCTCCTCTAGCTGCTGCTACATTCCCAAGACCTCGCCGCAGCTCTGACTTTCATATACTTTCTATATACCTGATTTGCTTGTGTTTGAATAAAGAATAAAAAAAAGAACTACATTTCTTTCCAACTTCTTTTTTTATTTATAGATTGTTGTTGTTATTATATTGTTATTGTTGTTATATACTATAAAGTCAAAACTGATTCACAGCTGATCCTCTAGTGGGTTTTCAGTTGCAGTAAATTGCACAGGAAGAAATTGTCTAATCTGAACCATATGACTTTGCGTTGATAATGCAGCTTCCTACCAGTGGGCCACTAGAACTCCATTAAGTTATAGATGCTGTTGTTGTCATTTTGTGCCATCAAGTTGACTATGACCTATAACAACTCTATGAACAACAGCTCTGAACCTTGCCCGATCTTCAGCCAGTCTCACTGTCTTTGATACACCTGCCCACCTTATTACAGGCACCAGGTCAATCCATTTCATTCAGGTCTTCCTCTCCTGTGCTGACCCTCCACCCTTCCAAGCATGATGACCTTCAAGGACAAGTCCCTCATGGCAACATGCCTAAAATATGTGAGATGGAATTTCACAATCCTTGCTTCAAAGAACAACCTAGGTTCACTCTCTCTAGGACATACCTATTTGTTCTCTTGGCAGTATACGGTATGTTCAGTACTCTTTTACAGCACCATAATTCAATGTCATCAATTCTTTTTGTCATCCTTATTTATTGTCCAGTTCTCAGGTGTATAACAAATAATTGAGAAGATCATGGCCTGGATCCGGCACACCTTAGTCTCTAGATTGACATCATTGCTCCTTAGCATTCTAGAGGTTATCTGAGAGTACATATTCCAAAGCAGCTAGTCTTCTGATTTCCTGACTGCTAGTGTCAAGAGTGTTGATTGTGGACTTGAGCAAAATGAAATTGTTAATAGCCTCAATCTCTTCACTTCATGTTGCCTATTGACTTCATGGTAAGAATCTTTATTTTCTTGATATTGAGATACAATCCATATTAAAGACTGCAGTTCTTGACCTTCTGCAGTCAATGCTTCAAGTCCTCCTCTGTTTTGTCCAGCAAGATTGTGTCATATGCTTAACACATTTTGTTGAGTTTTCCTTCCAATCCTGATGTTGCATTTTTCTTCACAAAGTCCAGCCTCCAGAATGTTCTGTTCCACATATAGACTAAAAAGGTATAGAAAAAGGAAATATATATCACAGATGCACTTTTCTTGATTTTTGAACATGCTGTATTTCCTTGCTTTGTTCATATTCCTGCTTCACGGTCTAAGTAAAGTTTCACATGAACACAAGTGTTCTATGATTCCCATTCTCAATGTTATCAACAATTTGTTGTGACCCACACAGTCAAATGCCTTTGCATAGATCAGCTGGTAGAGTGGAGACTAGTGTCTGTGGTGGTTATTCTTAGGTAACGGTTGAATCCAGCATGAAGTAGAGGCAAGATTATCAATATTGGACCTTAAATAATTGAGAATAACTTTAAAGTTGAGTATGGAAGGCATAGAAAATTCTAAGGTTCCTATCTATAAACATGTACTAAAAAGAGCTTGCAGCAATAAAGATAGAATTTCTAATTTCTTGGTTTAAATCTGAATTCTTGGTGCACTCATGAACCTCGGATAGCATGGCATTTTGGGTAAGTGTAAGAGGAAGGTTTGCACTTTGTATTGAGCCTCCATTTCAAAGGAGACAGATTAGATAGCCTGCTTTTGTAAAGATTTACAGTCTCAAAAATGAAACAGTTGTATTCTTTCCTTTGGGTTACTGTACCAGGATGAATTTGATGGCAATGGGTTTGGTTTAGGTTCATGAAATATTTCATTTATTATATCCATTTATTTGAATTAAGTTCTTTACACCGAAAGACGGGTGGTTTAAATCCACCAGTGACCCCAGCAGAGAAAAAAAGGGCAGTCTCCTCTTATGTACTTTATAGGCTCCAAAACATACTGAAAGATCACCTATGAGTTGGTTCCAATTTGACATCAATAAAAGAAAGACATGTAGTCTGGAAGAAACCTCCGTTGGGATTAATTGTTGGTTAGAGGCTTTTTTGTTGGGGGAGGGGATGGGGGAAAGACAGAAGGTGAGAAGCCAGTACTTTTTTATAGTTAACATTTAATAGGTAAGAAATTTAAAAGCCATTGTTATATTGTTAAATAAAATAGTAAAATAGTTTAGATTTGCTTTCATTGTTAAGAAAATAAAAAGCCAAAATAAAATCAGTTACTTATTTTTCTCTTCAACAGAAACCACTAGAAATTTCACTTGTATTGATCTTTGTCTTTGTAATAAAATTGACACGAAAATAAAACTTTAGATATGACTTTTTGTATGTATTATAGAGGTACAATGCATGATAATTGAACCACACATTCTCATATGCAACACTCGTGTATCTGTTGTACATGCTTTGTGTAGTGTTATGATGCTGGAAGTTATGCCACTGATATTTCAATTACCAACAGGATACTCATAGTAGGCAGATTTCAGCAGAGTTTCCAGACTAAGACAAGTGAAGAAGACTGATCATCCTATTCTGAAATAATAGGCCTTCAAAAACTCTGTCTGCTACAATAAAGCATTGTTATATATAGTACCAGAAGATATGCTCCTCAGGTTGGAAGGTGTTAAAAATGCTGCTGGAGAAAATGGAAGATGGATGAACTCTCAAAAGAAGATAGAGATATGCAAATAAAAAACACAATGAGATATCATCTTACTCCAAATGCAGTGGCAAAGTTTAACAGAACAGCAAGTAATTAATGTTGGAAAGGATATGGTGAGATAGGAATTCTTTTACATTGTTGGTAGGATTGTACAATGGTACAACTCTGGAAGGCAGTTTGGCTGCTTCCTCAAAAAGCTGAACATAGGAATTCCATATGACCCAGCTATTCCATTGGTTGGAATATACCCAAGAAAATGAGATCCAGTGTTCATAGCAGCATTATTCACCATTGCAAGAACATGGAAAGAGACCAGATGCCCAATCACAATCGAATGGATTGAGAAATTATGGTATATTCACACAATAGAATATTACACAGCACACGGGAGCAATGATTTTGTAAATTATTACCTAACTTGGGAAGGACTGGGAAGCTTTTTGTTGAATGTACTAACTCAGTCTGATAAGTACAAATACTGTTAAAACCATTACTTTAGAATGAGGGTGAGGATTTAAGGAGGTAAAAAGTGGAAGCAGAGGGGTCAGGAGGGTTAATCATGGGGTCACACAATTAGATGGGCTTGGGAGTGAGGGAAATGGGAAGGATCTGGTATTAAAACATTGTAATTGAATTTCACAAATAAACTAGTATAAAAATAATGTAAAATAGAATATATATAAATGATTATATGAAACACAATGTAAATGAAAGATTGTATAAAACACAGTATATATGAATAAAACATACTGTAAAGGTATTATTATATGAAAATCAATTTAAAAAAAAAATGAAGATAGAAGGTAAACACAAAATCACTTTACCAAAAAGAATTGGTTGACACCAAACCAATTCAGGAATATGGTCAAGAACAAATAGAACCGAAGGAAGACACACTGAAAGTATTAGAAAGTATAAGGTCTCAGGAATTGATGCAATACCAATTGAGGTGTTTCAGAAACCGATGCAACACTGCACAGACTCATCAGGCTCTGTCAAGAAATCTGGAAGACAGACGGTTAACTGACTGAAAGGATCTATATTTGTTCTCAGTTCCAAAAAATGTGATCTAATAAAATGTAAAAGTTATTGAACAGTATGGTTACTATTACATCCAAGTAATTTTTTTATTCAAAAAAGAAATTAAAATTCTTTATAAACTTTCATTAAAATATTCATTAAAATAAAAGACTGGAACAATACAACGTTTCATGAATTTCCAGAAATTCAGCATGCTCAAATTATGTCAGATGAAGTTGCATCATCTTTTTCTCTAATGACCATCCTGGTTGCATTTTCACTAAGACATACTTGTTTGTTCTTTAGACAGTGCAGAGGACATTCACTATTTTTCTCTAACATCACTGTCAAAAGACACTAATTCTCCTTCTGTCATCTATACTCAGCATTAAGACTCATAAGGCACAATTGAAAATATCATGATTTGTAACAGGCACACTTTAGTCATTAAAATTATATTTCTTTTTAGGACTTTGGTGAAATTCTTCACCAAATAAAGCATTTTAATTTCTTGACTTCTGCTACCATGTATGTTGGTTGTGGATCCAAATAAAGTGCTATTGATAATTTAAAAAAAAATCAGGAAACTGATAAAATGATAGGAAAACTGTACTAGTTATACAGTAAATTAATAAATGCTTAAAAAAGATAGTAGCAATCAAAAATTAGATATTTAGGAACTAGAATTTTGGACAACATATATCATTTGTCCTGATAAAGGCAGTGCAAAAAATGCACTTGCTATCTTTTAACAAGTAAGGCAATTATTAAGAATTTGTTTGTATCTACAGAATTTTACTATCTGTTTAAAAATGTTATAGTTTAGAGTAATTTCATTATAATGTTATCATAAAAGAATAAGAAAATAAGTTGACATAATACATCCACAAGTGGTCAACACAATAAATGACCCAAAGAAAACCTTTTATTTAGTATACATTACTATGAAAAATTGCAAAAATATGCTAAATGTACTGAGATCTAAAAGTTGCATGCATTTTCAGAGCAGGGAAAAAAATGTTACGAATGATATTACTAAATTAGAAAGTGGATTAAAAATATAGCTGCCTGGA